CCATCCTTAGTCTCCAGAAGCTGCTGTTTCCCCTTTGGGGCGCCCCCAGAGGCCAGGGAACGTCGGAGGCCAGGGCGGGGAGTGAGGCAAGGAGGTCATCCACCCAAACCAGTGGCTGGTGGCGAATGGGACAGAGGTGTAGACGGGGCTCTGTTTGGGCAGAACCCTGTCTGCAAGAAGGGGCCCTGCAGGCAGGTGGGCAAGGAACCCCACCCCAGACCCAGCTGAGCTTCCCAGTGGGGCTGTCCCACCCTGAGGGCACAGGGGAGACGCCCTCCTCCCACCACCTCCTTCCCGGACCCAGGACAGGACTCACCAGAGCATCTGAGGGAAACCATTTGACCAGAAGTACAGCTGCCCCTGCAAAACAGAGGCAGGGCCAGCAGGAAGCTGGGCGGGGTCCACCCCAGGCTGCACACCCACCCGAGGGCCTGGAGGAGGGTGTCGTTTTTGGGGGGAGCAGTAGAGGGGGCCTCTCTGTAGCCACAGCCACCTGCTTCCTGACCCCACCCAAGCCCCCAGGCCCCTGCTTGTAGCAGGTCTCGGGGACAGCAGCTGTGCTCTGCCCAGTCGTCCCAGGCACACAGGACTTCGTGATCCTCCAGTTGGATTTGGGCAGGGCCCAAAGTTACAAATGGAGCGTTCGTTAATGTGAAAATCCGGCTGTTGCCACTAAGGCCCGTGAGCGATGTGAACTCCGCGGATGAGTGGGTAAGAGAGTGAGTGAAGGGACTCAGTTCTTCACCCCGTGAAAATGACTCCACTCTCTCCCAAGCCCTCTGCCCGGCCCTGTGTGCTCGTATGCCTGTTCTCCTCTTTCCCCTCCTCTTTCTTAGCATAAACCTCAACTCCTGAGAGTTCCCTGGCGGTCCAGGGGTTAGGACTCGATGCTTTCACTGCTGAGGGCCCAGGTTCAATCCCTGGTTGGGGAACTAAGATCCCACAAGCCACATAGTGCAGCCTAATATAAATAAATAAATACATTTTAAAAACACACTGTTAAAAAGGAAAAAAAAAATCAACTCCCTTTGGAGCAAAGCCCTCTTTCTTGACTTCTCTCTTGCCCCCAGCGTCCTAATGCCTCGATTCTACTAGTTTCCCAAATCCACGGCCCCCTGGCTCTCCTGGCAGAGTCAGTCCCACCCCTACTTCCCTTTGCCCATTAAGGTATCTAAGACAGGGACCCCACGTTCCCCTGATCGGCCCACAGGGGACAGGAGCTGGATAGGAGGGGACTGAGGTTCAGACGGGAACAGTGGTGAAGGGGTTAGAAGGCTTTAGAGCAGGGACAGGAGGAGGCTGCTGGAAAGCTGGAGGACACCCAGGCAGGGTGAAAACCCACTCAGCTTGCACCCACCCCCAGGATTTGGGGAAGGGGCCATCCCAGAGCCCTCTCTTCTCTGGAGGGTCTCCAGGTTCCAGACAGTGAACCATCTCTCTCCTGAGATAGCAGAATTATCAAAATAAAGTGCGGCAGGGGTGAGAGGGACAAGTTTGGAGACAGGAACCTGGTTTCAAGACTTGGTTTGGCTGCTTATCAGTTCTGTGACCTTGCACAAGGCCCTTTACTTCATTGAGTCTCAGTTTTCCCACCTGTAAAATGGGAATAGGAGTACCATTTCAAATCCTCTGACAATAACACCCAATCCTGCCGTTCTTGTGAGGGACAAATAAGATGATGTATGTGAAACTTTGGTGGGTAGGGCTCCTGTGAGCTGAGTTAGCAATTTCTAATTGGGAAATATTCCTCTTTGTTGTCCTATCTTACACCTCCAGTGTCCTCGCCACCAGGCTCTCATGATAGGAAGATTTTTGCTGGATTGCTCACCAGGAAGTGAGGGGCATCATTCAGCCCCCTGAGAAGCCCTACCTGGGCTGCCACACCTCCTCCGGGAGGCCTCCCAGTCTAGGAGAGAGCTGAGCAAACTGCCTGGAGCTGTTGAGCCTGATGTCAGACAGGTTCACTGCCTTGTGGTCTGTGAGTCTTGGCAGGGGAAGGGAATAAAACGGGAGGAAATCAGCTTTAAACTGACGATCAGCACGAGAGATGGGGGTTAAGTATAACCGGAATGTGATACCATACCAGTGTAGTGACTGAACAAGACTTTGACAATGACCTCTTCTGGGATTTATATTTGTTAAAAATCAAGGATGTTCAAAGGAGAGAAACAGACTGGGGCACCATCATGCCCAGAGGCCAGGAGATGACCAAAATGACCTCTTGCCACTTCCTGAGTACTTTGATGGTGACAGACGCATAGAGGTCTTCAATGCTCCTCCCCCACCCACCAGCTCTCCACCCTCCCTAGGCCCCACTTCTGGCCCCAGCTACCTGAGATGCCCAAGTCTCCGGCAGATCCGTACCCCCAGGGCAGAGCTCCAGCCCTCGTGGCAGACCAGGAGCCAGTCTGGCCGGGCCCTCATCTGCACCTCCAGCAAGAAGTCCTCGGTGTTTATTCTGAAAGACACTGAAACCACAGCATGAAAGCCACATCCCACCTGCTGTGGGATGGAGGGGCGGCATGGGCAGGGCGAGCCGGACCTGGCCACCATGGGACCTAAAGAGGCCTTCACGATAGCATCTGGGTCATCCCATATCAAGCTCCCTGTTCCCCAGGGAGCCAGCCGGTTCTGAGAACAAAATAACCCCTCTTTGCGCAGCCTTTTAGGTTTGTGTTTTAACCAAGTGCTTTTAAACGTGCTCCATCACTAAGTGTCACAGCAACCCTGTGGGGTGAGAATTCCCATCCTCCATATTCTGCAGAGGGAAGTAAGGCATGGAGGTTAAGCGACCAGTCCTAGGTCACAGGATCTGCAAGTGATGGATCCAGGTCTTCTGATTTCAAATCTCATGACAATACTAGTGATGGTTCCTGTTTATTGAGCATCTGCTTTTTCCACGCTCTGTGCTAAGCCCTTTTATTTTATGCTCTTATTATGCTTCCAACTTCATGCGGTAACTATTTTCATCTCCACTTCATGGAGAAGGGAACGGAAGCTCAAAGCAGTAACGGAAGCAAAGGCACACACAGCTATAGCAAAAGCAGGCTCCAAGCTGACCCTAACTAACCTCCGTAACTGATTCTATCCGCAGCCTTAGCAGCACCGTATCTGCTGACCCTCAACTCTTACCTGGAGGGGAGGGGACAAGGTTTAGGTGCGGGATGCGGGGACAACGTGATAAGACGTACCCAGCCCTCTGTGCGTTCTTTGTCCCTGGACCCAGACCCTTGCCGGCCCTGCGCTGGCCCCCCCACACACACACCTGGTTTCTCTTCCCCACACTGCAGCCTCACGCTGCCCAAAGGGCGAGTCGCCATCTCTCCTGGCAGCCTGGGCTCTTGGCCATGCCCCAGCTAGAGATCAAGACTGTCCCCCAGGAGTGCTGAAAGCCCTAAATCAGAGATCAGCTCTACAAGGCTGGGCCGTGGCTCCACCCTCACAGTACAGGAGACACAGGTGGGTGGCAGTGAACTCGTGGCCCTTCAGTTTGGTCCTCTTGCCCCCAGCCAGAAGGGAGGATCCCACAGCTGTGTAGGGGCCCGGGGCCCAGGTGGGAGTCCTGCGACCCTGGGGGGTGGCCCACCTGCTCTGGGAAGCGAGGGGAGCAGGGCTTCCTCACCGCTGGCCTCCGAGCAGTTTAAGCTCATATCCTCATCCTGCAGGGTCCCGGGAACAGGCTGAGAGGCAGCTGGCCACAGATACAGCGCTTCAGAGGACAAAGACAAGGAGAGACTGGGGGAAGGAAGGGATTCCCCTAGGAAGGGGCCAAGGAGCAGAGCAAGGGACCTGCAGCAGAGGGAGGCAAAGGCAGCCTCTGGGGGGCTCCTCACCGCCCTGCCTGAGCCAGGCCCCCTGCAACGTGCAGAAGAGAGCCATTGCGCTCTCAATGTCTCTGTCTCTGTCTCTGTCTCTCCCTCTGACTGGGAAAGATCTCTTGGAGAAGTTTGACAAGGGCCTCCCTAGATCATCCACTTGAGCACATTTCTCACTGTAGGACTGAAATGTTCTTCTTTATGGAGAGCCCGAGTCCCTCCTGCTGGCCCTTCACCCCATTTCTACGTGCTGTCTACTCAGACTAGATGGAAAAGACGCTCATCCCACCTGCCTTGAACACCTGCTCAGCACCTGCTCCACTCTCCCAGCATCCCCCAGATCCTGTTGTTTGCCCCTCCCCTGCCACTGAAGGTCCCAGCACTGACCTAGAAGCCAGGAGCCAATGCTTGCACCAGCCAGCACCACCAGGGCTCCCAACGCCGCCCAGCCGCGCCGCCCTGTGCACCAGCGCCCTGCCCAAGAGACAGTGGGGGACAAGGGCAGAGGAGCATCTGGGGACCCTGCCTCCGCCTGCCAGCCGCACTTCACCCCGAGGCACCACCCCGGGACCAGACAGCCACCGACTCTCAGCGGTAGTTTGCACCTGCCCGCCTCCCCCTGCCCCATCATCCTGGGGTGGGTAGGGGGCAGAGCTCTGATCACTGGAGCCTCGGAGCCCACTCAAGCCCCCAAATGGGAAACAGCAAAAGCAGGTCTGGGATAAATAGTGAGACAGCGTCTCATCAGTCATTTAAGGCTGACCTGGGAAGATCTGGGGAAAAAGAATCTGGAGGATGTAGGAAGATTGTCCCTTCACTGCCCCCACCCTGTCATTCCCCGATGGCCCAGTCTGGCCTACTGGGTTGCTGCTGGGCCTCAGGTCTCCGCAGTGGGTCTCCTGGCTCTGCTCTGAAGATCCAGGATCCTGGACTCTCCTCTGCATACTGGGCCTCCATGGGGGCTTGGCCATCCAGCATCAGGCTCTGGGGAAATGGCTGTCAGTCACTCACCAAGGAGAGAAATCACCACCGACCACAAGAAGTCCCCACTCTCTAACTCCAGCCGGGCCCTCGTTGCCACTTGTGAGCCTTTTTTCATCTTGGGGACTCCATGTGTGTTCCCATAGATGCCCCTCGGGCCTCCCGGCTCTCCTGGAGCCCCTTGCTCCACCCACCTTTCTCTCACACAGCCAGTAAGTGTCAGAGCAGAGACCTGAGCCCAGATTGGGCCAACTCCAACGCCCGGACTCTTCACCACCCCCTTGGAAGTGGTGACATGGTGGCATGGAAGACATCCACTGAATCCCTGAACATCCCTCCTCAGATCCTAAGATCCCATCCTTCCTCATTCCCTCCTATCTTGGAGGAAAAACTTCCCCTCCCCTACGAATCATGCATTCATTCACCCAGTAAATAGTATTCAGCCCGAGTGGACAGTCCACGGTGGGGGATACTGTAAGTTCAAGGTAAATTAACATGAACCTCCACAACCACCGCCTTAAAGAACCTACTTGTGAGTCCTGAAGATAAGTCATGTAAACAAAGCAGCACAAGTTCAGTGACAGAAGAGAAGTTCAGTTTAACTAACACTGGAATTCCAAAGGAGAGCTTACTTCTTGTTGGGGAGATCAAGCAAAGCTTCCTGGAAGAGGCAGCCTCTGAGACAGGCCCTCATAGATGAATAGGGTTTGAACTGACATATATGGTCATTGGGTGTTCCAGGAAAAAGGTGTTGAGGAGGCAAAGGAATGGGAGTAAGAAAGCATAGAGTGGGGAAGGTCAGACATTTGCCTAAAATTCATGTGCCATGAAGAAGAGTAATGGAAAAGTAAGATCTTGGCAAAAACACTGGACCAGCAGTTCAAAGCTAGGTCTACAGCCTCTACTGTATGAACTTGGTAACTCATCAGCCCTCCAAATTTCAACTTTCTCCTTTACGAAATAAGAGTGATAACCCCTGCTACCCATTGAGTAGTCTCCCCCATCTAGCTTTGTCTCCATTCCTTCTCCATGCCAGAGCAATCTTTCTAAAATGCAAACATTAGCAAGTTAACACCGTCTTTAAAGTATCTAATGATCTTTGTAGGCTTCAGGGTAAATCCAAATCTCCCTTGCGTAGCTCACAGCATCCTCTGTGATCTCGCCCCTCCTCGCCTCTCCATCCTCACCTGGAAGCACTAACTCCTCCACAGCGTAACTCAGGGTGATACTAACACACATGCCTGTCCTCAGCATCCTCACACACTCTCACACCACGGAAGCCTGGCACCTGCTGTCCCCTTCCCCGCATACTGACTCCTATGACCTTGCAAGACTTTCTTCAACCCAGGTAGCACCTATTGTGACCCTCTATTATGCTCATGTACTTTTCTCTCTCTCTCCTTCCTCTCTGGTCTAGGCATCCCAGAGTCTAGCTCAAGGCCTAGCACAAAGTGGGAATTCAGTTAATGCACACTGAATAAAAGGAAGGAAGGAAGGAAGGAAGGAAAGAAGGGACGGAGGAAGAAAACAGATTATGTGGCTGAAAGGGTTTTATAAAGTACAACACAAGTATTAAGTATAATAAATAATATATTAATAAGAAATACATATAAACTATGGGTCCTTTCTTTAATGAATTTATAATCCAGTAAAGTAGAAAGAGTCCCTTAAAGTTGAAATAAGTCCCGTCTCCCCTGCAGACCACCTTCCCCTGTCAACACGGCTTGGTCTAGAGAGAATTCCAGAGCATGCTCAGCCTTTCTTCCTGTCTCAGTATCAAGGGACCCTGGCTTGAAGTTCAGCCTCTGAACAACCTGGCCTCACCTCGGGAGCTGCCCCACCTCAACACTCACCTGCCCAAGGCCATGTGGTAGCCTCTGCAAAAATGGTCTTTAATGGTACAGGACTTCTTCGTCCTTGTTTTGAGGAGGAGTTCATGTAATAATGATTTGCCAAGTGCTGCCTACAGGCAAAACACCTGGCTAGGCATATGGGCGACAAGAGTGGGAAATAAAAGTCACACCCGGGGAGAACCAAACCAAGAGTTTGACCACACGGGTCCCCTCTAGAGCCCCCTCTCCTCTGCACCAGAGCTGCCAGAGGAGACTCCTTCCAAGAGCCTAGAATTCCAAGGGTGGGGTCAGGGGTGGGAGTAGAAAGAAAAATAGGGCAGAGCAGGGTATGGCCTTACCATATGGGTCCGTGGCAATGCAAAACCTCAAGGTCTGCTAGGTAACATTCTGCTCCTGTTCTTGGATCAGCATTGATTAAATAGCCCAGCCAGCTTGGTTAGAAGATGAGGGCTCCCTAGTTCACA